TAGCAATGTGGGACTAAACTTTAGTAGTATCCCTTGCCTTGCACAAATGGGCTAAGTAGGCCTCTAGGATTTATTTAGGAATTTCTGAAATAGTTATTGGGCTGTCCCAAAGTAGACTAAATTCTAGCAAATAAAACCTTAAATAGCTTGGGGACTCTGAAATATTCCTTCATGTATGGCTTTCCTCCTTGCCGCCCAAATTGCCCAAAGTGTGACTGAGAGCTTCACAAATAACTCATGCGCTAATGAATCAATAAGTGCAGTTTAATGTACGGAAGGGGTTTATTGCACCGGGTGAAATTTCAAACCGTGGGCTCAGAATTTCTGCTCCACTGACCGGACACCGCAAAGTACGAACAAGCGAACAAAGTATGGGCCATATACGAACAAGCCCAGACAGAGTATGGGCTGGCCTCCGTTTCTTGCAACCCTTAAAAATGGAAAATGAAAAAACAAACGAGCAATTCGCTCCACCCGAAAGAGGAACAGAGTCTTCTAAAAAAAAAAAAAAAGAGAGAGGAACAGAGAACTCGCGACGGCGATCCCGGCGGCGACGTAACTGCGGAAGCCAGATCTCCGTGGAGCCGGAAAGCACCTCGGTGGTGGCGCGGCACGGCGCGGGAGCTCGATCTCCCTCGCTGAACTGCGTCGCATCGCATCCCATCCCATCCATCCAAGCCCTCCTCTTCCTCAGGGTTTCATACCACCACTGCCTACAGGCTACAGGTATCCAGGGTGAAGATCTTACAACATTACAGCTAACGCTATGAACATCTCTGGTCGTTTAGGGTTGCTATAATACATTCTCCTTTGGTCACGCCCAAAGCGGTGCCATTCGAGCCGATCTACACGCTCAGGGTCCATCTTATGCAGGCTCCTAATTTCCAGCCACCTCTGGCCTCTGATGCGGTGCTGTCCTTCTACATGGATGCACATTCAGGGTTTTCTTCCCTTTGAGGGTGTACGCCTTGAACCTTCCGAGGAACATCACCAGGATGATGATCAGTCTCCCTTTGTCGCTCCATCTGCCGACGAACCCGTACGAGGCGTCTCTGCACGCGGAATCAGGCCTCAGTAACTTGTCACAGCTGTAGCCGAGCGAGTACCCTACATTGCCGTATGCGCTGCAAAAAGAGAAATGTGCATTATATATTGTTTTTGAACCAACACGCTCGATGCTCATGAGCCATGATAGTCTGCAACAAGCTTTAGCTCAACCTTTTCTTATGCTGCTAGCTTCATATTTTTAGCCATCTAGGAGTATTATTATTTCTAACATGGACATGAAATTGTGTATAGGGATGCCAACTTGCCTCATCACTTCGAATATTACGCTGAAGATGCTGAAATTGAGTGGATCGGCAGTCATTGACTTCCTCTCAGTTATACATGCCAAAATCGTGATTATTACTAAACAAGTACGCTTGGTCATGGCAAACTTCTTCCACGTTGCTCTGCCATTCGGATTTTCCTTTTTATCCGCTAAGCTTCGGTTATCACCACATGTAGCAAGGATTGAAGTACCAGAAGGAAGGTACCTGCAAATAAGCCCATGATCTGTTATTACCACAAAAGGAAGATACACAGCGGCACTTGTTCTAGAAAAAACTTCTTTCTCCATGGGCTATATTATATCCTGGTGTTGAAATTTGGTTGTCATTTTGACCTTCTTGGTTTTCCTGAACCTGTTGCTCTGAAATGAACTATATTTCTATCTTTGCTAAGATCTGTCTAGTAGTTTTGATTTCAGTCTAGGTGTGCCATCTGTTTGAGTGAACGATTTTCTTAGTTTGGTCTAGTAGAATAAGACATGTTCAGCTGCTAATGTGTTATTATCTTTCAAACCCTTGCGAGAATGTAAGATTGGTATGTTGCAAGCTATGATAACTAGTTTTGCCTTATTTTCTCGGTAATAGCCATTGTCCACTCCATACCATAATTGAGGTACATATTTAATATTGGAACTATTTATGCTTTTTGTTATTAAAATACACACGTAATTTAGTCTGTGCAACTATCAATGTTCAGAAAGTCATGCAAAATAACTAAAAATAAAGGTTCAGACAGTCATATTGCTCCAGGTAATATGTGCTATCAATAAGAGCTAAGCTAAGTATGCTAATGAACTTAAGTAAATTTAGGGATACTCACATGACAAGTGCAAATATCACCATAATCGGTGGAGAAAGGGTCGAGATGTCAATGACAGTTTCACCAGCGTGTCTTGAATTGGCACTCTGGAACAGAGAGCCTATCAATTTCTGGAACCATCCCATTCCCTCCAAGGATTTCGAATCCCATTCAAAATAACAAATAAGCATCGCTTGCAGCAAAATTAGCATCACCCCAGTCAGAACCAATTGGACAGAATTCTTATGAGGTTGCAAATGCCTGTATCCAATCTCCTTTGGGTGCTGAAGGATGTAGGCGTACTCTTCTCTGCTGCTCAGCTTTCCCAAGGTCCATATGCTTAACCTCAACAGTGGCGCAAACAAAGTGTTGCCTACAAGAATCTGTGGGGTAACTAGAAGAAGGAAAGTCGGGTTATTTTTGAAAATTGCCATGCTATCATTTAACGGAGTGAAGCCACAGTTTGCAAATGATGATACTGCTGTGAAGATTGAGAATGTCCACATTTTGATATGCTTACTCTTCAGTAGATGCCTTGCATCGGAGTCAATCCATAGGAAGATGGTAATGACTACAGAGCTGCAAACTATTGCGGCTATGAAATAGCCTGCTACTACATGAGCCAAAATATTGCGAGATTTATGATTCATCCCTTTGCTTTCCTGTACCTGGTTGTGTGGCATGGTTTCCTCTGGCTGGATGCCTTCCATATAATTCTGACTGCTGTTGTTGAAATCATCAGAGGATTCGATGTCCCTGCTTATGAAAGCCAATCTTGTCTGGAGAGCACCCTCAGTGTTTGCCCGAGCATTTTTGAAGTGCAGCCCTACCATAGAAGTGAACACTTCTCCTCCCAATATCATCAGTATGATGAAAACCCAGAGCTGCTGGCCAGAGAAGTCCTCCATCTCAATTGTTGCCATGCTTGACACCGTCACTGTGGACACAGAGGTGAATATCAGATCCAAGTTCCTTGGAGATGGCTTATTCAGTGGTGCGAGGTTCTTCAGAGCAAGGAAACCAGCAAAAGATATTGACATGAGGTAAATAAGCTGGACTACCAAAGGATTGCTTTTGAATACCAGAAACAAGTAAGAGCGTCTGAACAGATCTGCTGTACACTTGGAGAGGGAACCGAGCCTTGTGGACACAAACTCATGGAAATGCTTCACCATCTCCTTCGTGATTCTAAGCGCTTCCAAACTGAATAATGGGAGCTTCATGGCTGTATGCGATGGCAGATTCTGCAGGAAAACTAGAGCTGAGCTGAATCGATGCATCAAGGTTTGTGGGTTCAGACATGAAAGTGCTGGACCTGGCAACTGGAAGCTGTGTTTTTCATGGTGTCTTCTGTGTTAAGTATTCCCACCTACAAGCATTGCCCAACACGATTAAGTTCTGGTGCTCAATATGTAGGGTGGAGTAAGACAAGTGTGTCCACCTGTACAATCATGATGCTGATTGTGTCTACAAGGGCCTGGTCACAGGTACAGTTGATGCATGGACAAGCATGTGCCTCTATTATTAAAATACCCAACTACTTTATGTCCCGATTGAAAGGATTTTGGGCAATTATCGTCCTTCATTCAACAATTTTTGGATCTGAGGATATTGTTGATTTAATTTTAGCACTTTATCTTCGCACTGATTTTATGTTCAGTTATTATTTTATACTTGATCCTGCAAAGTAAAGTTGCATCATTCTGGTTTGGCACTACTTTTCTAGCTGTATTCACTAGTGTATTGTGATGCTGAAATTCACTACCCTGTAAACGCGTTACTGCAAAATGATCTATCTAGTGTTCTGTAATGCTCCACGGAGGAGACACGACTGCAATGACTAAAATAAATGCCGATTGTGAAGTTGCGTTGCAACATTTGCATTCTCTTGTTGTAGTTTCAATTATTAGTGCGGGTTGGGATAAGTGGATGTATTTAGTCCATCTGGCAGAAAGCGCCACGCTGGACAAGATTGCATTGATTGAAATAAATGACTGGGATTTCAAGTTGGGTTGCAAAATTTCAAAGTTTTAAATAGCGCGCTAAGCATCTTAGCGCCGGACCTCTTTCAAATGCTATAGCGTGCTATAGCGGAGCTATAGCGCGCTATTTAAAATGTTTGTTCATTTGTTTGGACCAAAATCTCTTAGCGCAAGACCTTTTGTAAACGCTATAGCGTGCTATTTGAAACAGTGCAAAATTTGCATTATCTTGATTAGATGCTGGGATTTTCTGGGCTGGTTTTTATTGCGAATTTTTTCCTATAACTTAAATTCAATGATCATGTTCCGATAGACACATGTGTGTATACCGCGTCCTGCGAAGGAATGTTCAAGCGAATACAATTGTAGTGGGACTTTTCTTATCCTCCTTTCCTTTCCATTTCTTTCAATGTGGCACAATCTAGTCGCACACGCGTGCTATTCCTTTTATCTCTCAGAAAAAGTGTGTGGTTAGTGAGGTTGCACGAAGATAGCAATATAATTCTTTGCCATTAATAATTACTTGTGGCCTCAGGAACTTCCGGACATCCAATGTGAGCTGAGCACCACTTGACTGGAAAATCTCCCTGTACACACGAGGATGTGTGTATCTACAGCTCCAGATCTGTGGCTGCCAAACTTTTTGGAGTAAGTGACTAGCAAACCACCAGGTCATGCTTGAATGTTTTTTATGATTTAACTTTTCATTCACCTAATGTGATACTAGCAGAACTTGCAGGTGAATCTGTACAAGGGTGGCAGGTGGAAGGTTTCGTTCTGCACCTTACATGACTACACAAAGATGGAAGGTACGGAAAAGGGAAGAGAAAGCCATTCACAAAACAACATGACCATCCACCTACAATGCAATGGCCACCGGGTCTGCATCTAACCAAGCTTCCAGGCTTTGCCACCTTTTATGCTGAACTTCTTGAGCCTCCCGAAGAGCATCACAAGAATGAGGATGAGCTTGCCAGAATCGCTCCACCTCCCGACGAAGCCGGTCCACCTGTCGGTGCACAGCGCGTCCGGGCTGATCTGTCTACTGCAACTGTAGCCCATGGAGAAGCCCACATTTCCATACGCACTGCGGAATGTGAAGGCTAAAACATGTCAGCTTCCATGAAGGAAACCAATAACGCCGGAACTAAGTTGCAGTCATATTTGTTATTCGTTTTCAGGCTTTCTTGATTTGCGTTAGAAGGGGCTTGCCTGACGACTTCGACGACGATGCTGAGCAAGCTGAAGTTGAGGGGGTCTTCCTCGAGGTTTTCCCTCTCGGTGACGCAGATGGCGATGATGAAGATGGCGAGGTAGGAGAGTTGTGACAGAGCCGTGCTCTTGAGCAACCTGACCCCCGGGGTCTCCTCCGTGGGATGGTCCTTCACGCCCGAGCTCTCCTCAAATGGAAACCATGTGGTGTATGGAGGCAGGTACCTGGAACAGAAAGAGGATCAGTGACCCTTGCGTGCAATACTCTCTGAAAATCTATTATTGCAGCATGCATGATTAGGTGTTGCCTGAATTTCCCATGACCTGCAAGAACACTAATTCAGTTTTCTTTCAGAAAATGAAATGACGCGGCAAGAGAAGCGACGGACATAAATAGCTGCAGAAGTTGGCGATTGACAGGTTGCATCTCATGGACCAGCGAGTGATGTATGGATGGGCGTTGGCTGCCACGCTGGAGAAGTTGCACGTACGGGCCCGCTCGCTTATCAGCTGCTTGGCTGTGAGCCTATTGATTGATGATGCTGGCCCGTGGAAAAGTAACAGCAGCGGCGTGCTGACTGGGCATGGGCATGTGAATGATTGGCCGGTTCTAGATGCTCTCTGGTTTAGTGGCTAGCATGACTGCCGGATGCTGATCAATCAACCACAGACTGTATGTATGCAGCCCATCCACTTCATGGAAGGGATGTGGAGTCGAGGACCGACGCGCCGGCCGTTTGGTCGTGTCGCCCCCTGGATGGCCGGCCCGTCGCCGTCGGTGGGCCGGCGTTACGCGGTTTTGCCGCGGAGCCTCGCTGATCCGGTCCAACCACCTTCGCAGAGAATTGTGGAGTGACGGCGGCGTCTGCATGCGTCGTGCGTGCCACTACGGATGGATCTTCATGTAAGCCAAGGCAAGTCCTATTTACATCTTTCGCTTTCACTTTTGGAATGACTCACCGTACGTACTCGAATCCCGCGGCTCTTGCAAACGGTCTATTAATTTCCGGAGAAGCTCCCCTAAGTCTTAACTAACAGCCATGCACAAAACGATGCTCCACCAGCTCCTGGCCCATCTTCGCCGGTTCATCAGAGATGGGCACGCGAGTGAAGATGTCGGGAGAAATTAGTTTCTGCGTCCGTCCGTCACATGCATGCCTCTGCCAACCTAAGACGCCAACGGGATAATTAATGGCCGTGGAAGCTTATAATAATGTAATTCACGGGTCCATACTTTTTGGCCCTACCGCGTGGCGCTTGTCTTTTCTTGAGGGAATAGCTCGTTGGCGCTGGTCCGTTGTACGCACAAGATGTACTACTGCTCAATGATTCAACGTCGTCCCACTCCCACCCCCACCCATGCGAGCCTCGCTATTGCGGAGAAGTACATTGATTGATGCCACTTGTCAACAGAAGCCAGATACAATGTCGCTATGAGCAGAAGACACGCATGGGGTTTTGGCTGGAGCACATGAACAAAGCTTCCAGCTCGTCAATTTATATTGTACTCCCTCCGTCTTAAAATAAGTGTCTCAACTTTGTACTAGCTCTAGTATAAATTTGTACTAAGGTCAAGACATTTATTTTGGAACGGAGGGAATATGTTGGTTGCACAGTATAGTCAGCATAACAAGATCGGAAAGCTAATTTCTTTGATTTTAATGACATGCAAATATGCAACGCAGAAACTGAGAAAAATAAAATCCCAGCTAGCTAGGAATCATGAAGGGAAACAAACTGTGAACTTAGCTTAGGTTAATTAGTTAGCCACGTGGGAGTATTGCACTCTCGTAAGCATCGGCAAGGCAGCTGATTTGCTAAAGAGAAAGATGACTCACATCATGAGCACCAAGAGGACGAGAATGGCCGGCGCCAGGGTGGAGAGGTCGAGGGTCGACTCGCCGGTGTGCCGGGAGTTCACCGCCACGAACACCGCGTTGGACACCTTCTCCCATGGGCCCATACCCCGCAGCGCGCCACCCCACTCCATGCCGCACACCATGCACACCTGCACGGCGACCAGCCCGGCCACCGTTGCCGCCAGCATCGCGCACCGCCGCGCGGGTAGCAAGTGATAGTACCCCGTCAGCTCCCTGCCGTTTCTCGCCGTCATCTCCACCAGCTCCGGCCTCCTCGTCGCTGCCGCAGCAGCGCGCACGCACACGGCCAGCAGTGTCGGGAACAGCGTGTTCCCCGCTAGCGCAAGCGGCATGAGTAGCAGCTGCAGCCCGGTGTCCCGCCTGAACGCCGCCATGTTCTCGTTGTTAGGCATGAACCCGCAGCTCGAGAACGTGGAAACCGTCGTGAACACGGCGAAGGTCCACACGCTCAGGGCCTTGCTCCGCAGCGTCCTCCTCGCGCCCGGGGACGTGTAGACGTAGGCCGCAATGGCGGCGGCGCCGAGTACGTGCGCCACCACGAGGATGGCGAGGACGACTAGGGACAGCGAGCGCACCGCCTCGCGCCGCAGCCGCTTCGCGTCTATCGGGCTTTTGCTCGTCTCGTCGGAGTTTCTCGTCCAGCTTTCGATGTCGGCGGCGTTGGCAACCTGTGGCGTCGTCTCGAGCTCGACCCCTCCGTCGTCGTGGCTCTCGACTCGCTGCGATATGCTTATACCTTGTTTCCGCAGCTTGTACCATTTGGACGCCAGGCCTACGAGTGACACGAACACCTCGCCTCCGGCAAACATGAGCACGGTCAGGACGAAGAGCTGGCCGTAGGAGAACACCTCCATCTCGACGGCGGACATGCTCGACACCGTCACGGCTGACACGGCGGTGAAGAACAGGTCAATGCCGCGGGGCCGGCCCCTCCCGCCGCCGTGCCCGGCTGGCGGTGCACGGAACTTGAGCTCGTCCAGGAGGAGGTACCCGAGCCAGGAAACGGCGAGGAGGTAGGCGGCGTGTACGAGCAGCGAGCCGAGCCGAGACGGCCAGACCTGCCCGGCGCCGCACCGCAGCGCGTGCCGCCACCGCGCCGCACGCTCCGTGACGTGGTGATGCGCGTAGGACTTGCAGAGCGAGCAGAGGCGGGACATTGCCTTGTCGAGCGCTGCGGCCGTGCGCCGCACGTGGTGCGAGAGTTCCCGGAGCTTATGGTGAGCTCCGGCCATGGTGTGGGTTCGTGTACTATTGTTTTGGACGTGCACAGTGGTATTATGGGGTTTACGTGCACTAAAGCTGTGCATGCACGGGCCGGTGGCCTACGTGTTTCGCTGCTTGAGTTGATATAAAGTGGAGACGTCCGTCAGGTATATATACAGGGAGGATAAGTGCAACGTACGGTTGGAAGTTGAACGGAACCTCGATGGCCGGCGCCGTCGGGGAAGACGATAGACTACGCGCCTCTCTAGACAACCCATCTTCAACCACAAACACAAAGATGCTTATTTTCTTACCTTTGATTACTGGTGCATAGATTTGGTGTTTCTCCGGTGTTTAAGAAATTTATCTCATTTCTAAAAAGGTAAAAGTTACGTGAGCATCGTCGAGTTCAAAGTTTATATTTTCCGCACGATGCAACTTTAGTTTAAAGAACAGGGTTGCACATCTCTAACTTACCGTTGTACGCAACATTTTTTTTTTTGAGGGGCGTTGTACGCAACTTTAAAATGTCTAGCAACTGAATTTTTGTTAGACTACGAGTCCAGGGTATCCTCGTCGGACCCAAAAAACCCTCCCTGGTCTATTTCAAGAGCACCGTCACAAGCACGCGTTGTGTTTGGACTTTGGAGTATATCCTAACTATATGTCTAAGTTAAGTAAGTAAGTGATCCCATTTAAGGTGATGGATCAATTCTTTTTGAGGAAATGGTTGTAGAAGTTGGAAACACTAATGGAGTTTGGCAGAAGTTGTTTGGAAGAAAATACCTTAGTAAGAAAACGTTATAAGGATGGAGTGATGATGGGGTGGTTCCCACTTTTGGCAAGGTATGATGAATGTTAACCATACATTTCAAAAGCTTGCTAGGAGGGTTATGGGAGATGGAGCTAAAACTCTTTTCTGGAAGATGTCTGGCTTGGCGATAAGACACCCGCTGAGAGATTCCCCTGATTGTATAACATATCCTTCTCTAAGTTCATCACTGTTCAGTCTGCCAAAACTAGAGGCTGGGATGCTTTTGAATTTAGGAAGACCCTCTATGGGGAGACTGAGCAGCAATGGATTGCCCTGAAAAAATTGCTATATGAAGTGGAACTCTCTAATGATAAGAATACCGTAAAGTGGCCACTGAATAGCAAGAATAATTTTGTTGTGAGAGACTTGCACCTTCATTTTAAGGCTGCTACATTAGTACTTCCTCCGTCTAGGTGTATAAGTCACCTTACAAAAACCAAATAATACCAAAACATTTGGGCGAGGTGCATTAACTCCCATCTCGTTTCTTGTTTCTTGACATATCAACCAATAAGAGATGTGGGCGTGCATGTTCTCAATGACTTGAGACTATCAAACACGACATGCAATGGTTAGTTCATTACATACAATGTTATTAATTAGCAATTAAACATTAAGTTTTCTCATTTCCTCATCTGCCTTGGTCGCGGTACACAGCCTAAGATGACTTATGTACCTGGACGGAAGGAGTAGGTTACAGATTTACCTTGAAACTTAAAGATCAGTTTTTTTGTGTGTGTGGCTAATGCTGAAAGGTTGTGTTCTCACTAAAGACAATTCGCTGAACAGAGGGGGGATTGGTAATGGCCAGCTCCATTTCTGTGAGCAAAACTGCAATATGGAGCATTTGTTTTTCAGATATTGTCTTGCCAACCTTGGTTTGGCAGGTTGTGGCATGTGCTTTTAACCTAACTAGATTACATGATGGCATTGAGGATTTAATTGGTGATTGGGCTAACTCCTTCTCTAAAGACCAAAAGGCTTTAGTGGTGATGGAAGGGGATACCATCTGCTGGACACTATGGAAGACAAACAAAGCTTGTTAAATAAACAATGATCCAGTTGTTGTTGTGTACAATTTTTGGCACTACCTTACCAATTGGAGCATTTTGCAGAAAGAACTAGGTCGAAGAAGAATTGAGGAGGCGTGCATGATGATTAAGAATGTGAGATGACTGAAGCTTAGGCTCGATTTCATGGATGAAATTCTCTAACCAGAAGGCTGGAGGTATGATGATGTTGCTCCATGATATAGAATGTTTTTGTTGTTTGTCGTTGGCATTCTTGTAATAACTTACTATCAAATAGTATCTGTTAGAATGGAGATTCATTTCGGTGTGCTTTAGCTGTTTGAGGTATGCTTGTTAATGTGCCTTATAGGCTTGTCTCGGTATTCTAGGCTTTTGCTCTGCAAATGGGGTTTGATGCCCACCTCAGTCAGTCGTGCCTGCGAGGGTTCTTTAATGGAAATCGACGTGAGTCCAGAGTCGATTTGTTTCTTTCAACATTTTGTTGTTTTGTTGATTGTATGACTATTTGGGGTGGTTTCTTTAATGGAAATTGACGCGAGTCCAAAGCTCAATTAGTTTCTTTCAATATTTTGTTGTTTTGTAGTTTGTAGTGACTATTTGGGGTGGTTTCTTTAATGAAAATCAACGTGACGGCTCATTTTTAAAAGGTAACACATTTACATGCACATTCAAGCCATTCACATCATCAAGCTCATACAAACCGTGCAGTCTTTACATTCTACTTTCCAACACATACAAGCAATCCACATCATCAAGCACATGCAAGCATTGCTCATCATCATTTTTTATTTTTATTTTGTCTAGCAACAAATAATTGAACTTGAATCTCACAAGGTAGTATAACATGCATCCACCCTCTATTTAGTTCTAGGTTTGTGACCGTTCATATGGTGAGAATGTGTTGTGGTATTATTCATATATTCTAGTTTTCCTTCTGATAATTGCATTACTATTACGTGCAGGGTGTTATCTAGTTTAATGAGCAGTATAGTCTAGTTTCTTGGGTGGTGTGGTGCTACCCAAAGCACTGTCGCAATGATTGTTAGGATCTTGTAATTAATTTTTTGACTTCTATACAAATATGGCATGTTTTACGTGCTCTAAAAGATTTTTTTCCTAAACTGGCTCAACCCCTTTCCATTACTTAACTTAACGATAATGCAAAATGGCCCACAACGAGTTCAGGAGTAGGTGAAAGAGGGTTGAAAGCACACATGCTAAGATATCTCGGAAGGGTAGAAACCCGAATCACACATCGCTTTACGACCTATCCACATGCTTCTTTCAGTGACACGTAATGTGTTTTCTTTTGCGGGATAAATATTTGTATTTTCAATCACCAACTCATTACAATCACCACAAGCTATCTCCAAAATCTCAGAAGGGCCGGAGCCAAGCCAAGTCATGGTTCTACCATGAACTCTACCAAAAGTAGCTAATCCATCACTAGCCTTATTCCGTAAATGTAGAACATGAGTAATACAAGTATGTCGAAGACTAAGAAGATGGCTGATTTCCTTCACTAGAGATGCATAAACTGAACGATCAGTACCGCCACCTGTAATATGTTGTAGAGTTGAGGAAGAAGGTCGACCACATTGGTTCCAGCCGCGCCAACCACATGTCAGCCGATGCATCACCCCACCAGGGGTAGCCAAGAAAACTCGACGGCGGCGGGAGAATTGCATTGTGACGATGGTGGCATGAGGGAAAAGTGAGGAGCAGGCGTGGTAGTCACTACAGGAAAATCCCGTTTTCCCATGTGTTAGACTATAAGTCGTGAGCTATTTATCGGGAACTCGGCTTATCTTCTCGGCTTATGCACACGTGGTAGAGCAGGACATGAAACTTCCTACCCGCAAAAAAGATTCTTGTTTCGAGTGCTCTTTATAACCCCCCCTCTCTCTCTTTTTGACTTGAAGGCCCTAAAGGGTAGATGATGTTTTTAGAGGGGGCCTTCAGATTTTAGATAATCAGTCAGAGTATGTAAAAGCTGCATCCTAGCAATTTTAGAGTTTCTAATAAGTCAGTAGGAGAGTAGCCATCTGTCGTCTATACCGCATGTGCGAGGTTCTGTACATACTACATCAATATGATCGGTTGATCCATTTCCGTTGAAACCGGTACTTCTCGCTTCCCGTCCTCCTTGTGCTCAGTAATGGCGTTAGCCACATGCATTAAGGCACGCATCTTCTATCTAATTGCAATGGACCGATGGGTACCGCTCCATGGAATCGAGCTTCGAGCATGATATGCTCTCAATAATTGAGTAGAATGCTATCAAGGTCTTGAGGCTGTGAGCGCCCGAGCGGCCCGGGCGCTCTGAATTCTATCTATGATATATCTTAGATATATATTATGTCTTGGGTTTAGACTTATCGGGAGATTGGAGTGATCTTCAGAAAGCGATTGCAGCTAGAGCATCTTTAGCAAATCTTTCAAAAGTTATAGTTGAGCCGAAACTTTCTAGTGTAGGGGCATCTCCAACGGCAACCCACAAATTTCCTCTCACATCTGTGTACGGACAGGGGGACCAGTCCACAGACAGGATGCGGGTGACTATCATCCAACACTGCCCGCATACATTTCAACTTGCATTTAAAACAAATCAGACAAAATTCATGCAAACCGTCTGATGTTCATTCGGATAGAAAATAGTACAAATCATTCATACATACCATGCAAATTAAATCTAGTACAATAATGTCTCAAATTCGACTAGATTCTGGATGTCCAACAAGTTTTTCGTCAACGGATCATGTCGTTCCACACATACTTCCGCTTCGTCTTCATCGAACAGTGTGTGAATGTAAATGGCCACCCCTCTGGCCTGTGGTACACCATGATAGCGCTTACAGGCTACATATAATGTGTAGACCAACATTGAGTGAATGAATCAATCAACAAGTTGAGCAAGAGAAAGCAAAACTTACGATCTCGTCCTCTGACGCGTGCAATGGCCACCTGGCCTCGAGCTAACGAACCATGTCACAAAACTTGGTGACGCTGGTCTGGATAGTGTACTCGTGATACGATAACGACCTCACATTGCGTTTTTGAATGATGTACAAGTCATAGGACACAATGTGCTTTCGTGCGTGAAACTTTTCATGCACTTGCTACCAAAAGGTCTCCCCTCTGCTCCTGCTCCTGCCTACGAAACATTTAGATCCTTAAAATTATAACTTTTACCTACTTTTACTTCGGGACTAGTAGAAAAGGGGGCAAAGGTCCAGGCCGAGTCAGCCCATTAGTCCCG